ATAGTGCACACATTAAAACATAAAGCATATAAATCACTACACTGCGATTAATATCCCATCACCTCCGGACTATTTTCAGACAATAGAAAATATGCAGCTTAGATATCTAGCATGTTAATGTTCTCTAGAAACAAAAAGTATAACATAAAGCAGTAAAGAGTTTAGAACCTTAGATGTGGTGTGCTAGAACATCTACTCTCAGTTCTCATAGGCTGTACATATTCTGTTCTTCATCATAATGTATATAAAAAGAGGGGGAAGCAGAAATGTTTTTATGTGAATTCAACAAAAATCTCCTCCTGCTCTTGTTCTTCTTGTTTGTCTTCTTGTTCTTGCTCCTCCTCCTCCTCTCTCTTTTCCTTTTCTTTTTCCTCTTCCTCTTTCTCTTCTTCTTCTTCTTCTTCTTTTTCTTCTTTTTCTTTGTCTTCTTCTTCTTCTTTTTCTTCTTTGTCCTCTGTTCCTATTCTTTTTTATATTTTCTCCTTATCTCATTTCTTTACCCTTTGTTTCTCTTGTCCAAAATTTCCAATACAATTCATTCCTGTCGCCATTGGTTTACGAACTACATCTTGTATAACATGATGTTATCTTCTTCACTTTGTATCCTTAATGTACAAGCTCATTTGACTTTATATTTGATGTCTGGGTGTTACTTTCATCTTGGTTACTCGGAAAACATTATTTCTATTTCTTTTTCATGATCACTATATGTATATGAGGTGTTATGGATGTCGATACGAAGGAGGCTATATTATAAGATTGAGAATACAAATGGTAAAGATACTGAAATACAGTAAATACTTCTTGAAATTTATGAGATATAGGATATTGTAGATGTGCAATGCAGCCCTAGAATATTTGAAATGAAAAATCAAGGCTGTATAATACTGATAAAAAATAAAGTTTCACCATTGTAGCAAAGTCATCACTGATATCTGTAACACATCATATATAAATGTATATGACATAGGATATATATATATATATATATATATGATATATATATTGTATATATATAATCATATATATGTATATATATATATATATATATATATATATATATATATATATATATATATATATATATATATATATATATATATATATAGTATATATGTATATATATATATATAGGTGTGTGTATGTGTGTGTGTGTGTGTGTGTGTGTGTGTGTGTGTGTGTGTGTGTGTGTGTGTGTGTGTGTGTGTGTGTGTGTGTGTGTGTGTGCGTGTGTGTGTGTGTGTGTGTACATATATGTATATGTATATGCATATATGTATGTATATATGTATGTGTATATATCTATATATTTGTATATGTATATATATATATATATATATATATATATATATAATATATATTTATTTATTATTTATCTATCTATTATATGTAGATGTATATATATGTATATATATATATATATATATATATATATGTATAATATAGATGTATATATATGTATATATATGTATATATACATATATATATATATATATATATATATATATATATATATATATATATATATATGTATATATATGTATATATATACATATATATATTATGTTTATATATATTTACATGTATGTATATATATGTATATATATATATATATATATATATATATATATATATATATATATATATATATATATATATATATATATATTTATGTTTATATGTATACACATATATATATGCATACAAACTTACATGTTTTAAAGGCTGTCATTGTCATAATAGAGAAGTATATGACAATTCTCTAGTTGGGTTTTATGATCTTGGTTGTTGCTGTAGTTTTTAACAATTCTCTGTTTCATGGTTCTATAGTACCTTTAATCTATTACAAATTTCACTCACATATAATGACATGATAGATGCAGAGTGTAGTTTAGTTATTCATTTAAGTTTTGAGTTCATTTTCCAGAAATATTAGAATTCTCACTTAGATTAGACTGAAGTTCCTATACACCATAGTCAGCTGGTAATAATGATTCTAGAGGAATGTTAATTTATCTGTTTATTTGATTGTAGCGGGCAGTGAGGAAGTTCAAAGTATGTGTAGAATTTCATTATATATGCATATGATTTTGTTAGGAATCAATCTGTAACTCAGGTTTTTATAAAGTTTATAAGATAAGAAAAACTTTAACTTGACTGAATTTGATTATGATGTGTTTTTATTTGTAGATCACATAAAATTACAAAACAGAAATTGTTAATTAACAGGAAGAAATATTTGTTTGTTGAGACTGTTAGAACAAAAGGTAAACAGACTTATAGTGATGTAAGAATGCATAATATGTGGAAGTAAGTGGTCTTATTTATTTATTTTTGTGCGGGACAATGAATGGGAAATCGTAAATGTACAGGGATTTTTTTATATACGTATTACTTGTTACATGTTACTCATCATGGCTATAACTCACCTGTTCTCTTTTATAAGCATTATGATGTTTATGTGTGCTTTACAAAGCACAGCATAGCTGTATCATCAAGATGTTGATAGGGAACAGTGCCTGAACATCTCTTTTTTATGGGTAAATTACTTATGTATATGGATAGGATTTGTGCAGTATTTTCTATTCATTTATGAATTTTTTATTACTTACTCCACGTTTGCATCCCAGTTAGAGAAAGTAAAGGAATATGTATAGGTAATGCATTGAAAATACTAGAATTAGATAGGTTTGAGACAGCTTTTTCGTAGTACTTTATAATAAACAAGTCCGTGTGCAGGAAGCAACCAATCATCTTCTTTGGTTAGAATTTATTGCATGTTGTAATTTGCATATATCATTTAGAATCTGTTTTTCAAATTTGAAGAGGAATTTTGTTATAAAAGAAGACAGGTGAGTTTGGATCTATATATTGCATTGTGATATGTTATTATTATTTTTTTTTTTATTTTTTTTTTCAATCAAGAAAATTTTGGTCCAAAAATGGATATCAGTTAGTCTCGAGCAGTTTGTCTTTGGAAACTGCGAATGATTCTTCTGTCAGTTTGCATATTGTGCAGGCCACATTTTGCTTTTAACCTTTGTTCCATATTATTGTAATGCTATTCATGTACAGACTGGTAAATTCAGTATATCAGTAATTTTTCTTAGAAGAAATAATTATATATAATGGCTTTGCTAGTGTGACAGTGCTCTATTTTTTCTCTGTCATTATCTATTTTTCTTAAAGTATGGTTTCTATCTGCTTCTCATTTTAATAACAAGTGCTTGAAAATTGAAACGGTTACAGTGAAATTCATAGGTTTAGAATAGTGATTGCATTAGCCCTGTGCATAGTTCAGACTGACATTATCATATCTCCTATTTCGACCCACTATTCTGTACTTAAGGTCTGATGTTCTATCACATTTAAAACGAAAGGTTTTGCACAGCTTAGCAGTACTAATGGGACTTCCATGGGTACTCTTAATGTCATTAATGGTCCTGGTATATTTTGCCAGTACCAAAAGAGATGCCATCAGCATTTTCAGTGCCTTTTTCATGATACTATCAGTAAGTACTTGTTTCTTGATATATTAAAAACCAGAAAACTAATTTTCAATATCAAAGTACCATTAATTTTGTCTTGTTAAACTTAATGTAAAAAATAGTCTTGGAAATAATTAAATTTCAATTAATGGAGTTTTTAATGTTCCAGTTAGATGTATAATGTACGGATGTTTATCCTATCATACTGATAAGAATTATTATTGAAAGATTTATAAGGCCAAAATAATCAAGTGTTGATGAAATGTGTATATTTCTTGGATAGAGTTTGGCTCGAATAGGTGGTCAGAAATTAGGATTTTCTCAGTCAGTGATGTAACATGCCGTTAGATCAAGAATACAACTATACCATATTGGAATATGGTGAGCATTTAGTCCCTTGTGATTGTTTGACACAGGTTGGCTTGAATTATTACTCTTCTTATTTCATATTTCATTTTTTCTCTCGTTACTTTCCGGTTCTGCTTTTCTTTAATTTTTTTCCTAGTTTTATAAAATATAATCGCATAATGCATTGAGGAACATGCAGTTGATATTACAGAACACATTGTAATTTGTATTTTTTTTCTATTGTTTTGTTGATTTTTAAAAAATCGGAATAAGTATGAATTTTTGGTACTTTTTTTTCAGTATTAATGATCCTTTTCACTCCATGAATAGTCTCAACATTCATACTGATACTATCGTTAATAATCATATGGAATCTTAGATATAGTGTTTATATGTTTTTTTTTTTATTTTTCGTCAGTTGAATTAGTAAATTATTCCACAGGTTCACAGACATCCTTGCAGTCATGGGCTTCCAGTCTCTCTTATGACAGCCAGGCAGATGACGTCAACGAACCCAAGGAATTTATGCGGAAGTTTGTCGAGGAAGTGTTCAAGATGCCGCATGTTATTGATGTAGACAAGAAAGCCCGATTTGGGGAGCTAGCACAGGTAAGAAGTTTAGGAGATCTTTGGCTCCATCTTTACACTCTAGTCCTGTACCTAGGTTTCATGTTCCAAGTGGACTCGTTTCAAGTTGACTCATTTCAAATTAACTCATTTCAAGTTGACTCATTTCAAATTAACTCATTTCAAGTTGACTCAATTCAGATTAACTAATTTCAAGTTGACTCATTTCAAGTTGACCCGTTTCAAGTTGACTCATTTCATGTTAACTCGTTTCAAGTTGACTCATTTCAAGTTAAATAAGAAATGACATTGATTGATTCTTTCCTCTCTCTTCCAGAAGACGAAAATAATGTTAGAGAAAATTGTGTTTATTTGGTATGGTTCTTAATTTGCAGTTTTGGCAATCTTTACAGATTTTTTTTTTTTTTATTGTATATATATATATATATATATATATATATTATATATTTTTTTTTTTTTTTTTTTTTTTTTTTTTTTTTTTTTTTTTCTTTTGTCGTACTTGAGCTGTGATTGATGAAGAAAGATTATATGTATGTGTATGTCAAGACCTATAGATCACACTCCAGATGACAGGTCCTCGGCCAATAACTCCAGCAATGTTTTTTTGTTTCCACCATGGGCTTTTTTTCACAGATTAAAGTGTATTATTTTTTGTGTTTAATGGCATTTATTTGATCTTAATATATTGCCTGGTTAGCCCACAACAGGAAAAACGTAGATAGGATACCTCTCTACCCATCTCATTTTCTTATATACCGTAGATCAGGTGTCTGTTTGGGTGAGAATGAGTAGCTAAAAGGAAAGGCATGATTTTCTATACCAGAAGTTGTTAACCCAATTTGAATTACATTGTCAGATGATAGTTGTGTTTCTGATTGGTGAAAGTATGAAGTGTATTACGATTTTTCAGTGTAAAAAGAATTCAGCATTGCCATTCTTCCCCAGACTGAACAAGGGCGTCTTTGGTTTGCTCGATGTATCAATGCAAAGCGTTGCTGCAAGTGTGTCACTGAAGCTTCTTTCTTCTCTCTCATCCAACATTTTTCTGTCATGTTGTTTGAGTGCTGTGAAGCTGAAGATTTCTCACCAGCCAAAAGCCTAATGAATATGTGCTTTACATACTACCATGAAGGTAAGATGTTTATTTTTATTCTAACTAAAATTTTCTTTATTTATACGTAATATAATTCATGTTTCTTACTTATTATTGTTATGTAAGGACAGCTATCATTTCCAAACTGAAGTGTCATGCAGTGAAAGCATTATATTTGTTTTTTTTATATTCACTGGTAACAATTCACAAATTCAGAAGTGTTGCTTTTATGGGACTGCATCATTCTGCATCCAGAAATAATGAAAATGAACTAAGCATTACCTCATATGTAGCAGTTGTCAAAAAAAAAGAAAAAAAAAATGCATCGCAAAGATAGATTTTAGATTACTACAATAGGCTTCTTCATCAAGCATGGACTGCCATTTAATAATGATAATTTCTCTGATATTTATTCCCAGCCACAACACCTGGAGGCCAGAACAGAAACAAAGAGTTCTTGTACACCTACCTCCGACAACAGCCAATCTGGCGATCTCTACGCTTCTGGAATGCTGCCTTCTTTGATGCCCTCCAGTGTGAGCGCTCCCTGCGGCCAGTTGTGACCCGAGAGGAAGTGGAGAGTAATAGATTGCAGGCTGTTACGGATGAGCTTCACTACCAGGAAAACATTACTTTTGGTCAACTGGGGTAAGCTTGTATTTGTTACCCCAGGTATATCTATTTTGGACATGTAGACTTAAATACACAGAAGTGCATTCCTTCTCAAAAGTCACATGCAGTTCACTATAGATGTTTGTATATCTGGGGTGTATGTGGATGGATGTTGATATGTATTCACGTGCATTTAAGTTCTTTTATACAATTTTAGACGTTTGTATGTATATGCATACGTGACATAATTCAGCTAAAAAATGCACATGATTATAGATCAGTGTGAAGAGGACTGCAGGCTTGGAAATTTTTATAAGATTTAGGCTGTTATCTGTTTTTAAGTTTTTACGTTATCCTTAAAAGTTCTTGCTTTATTTCACGTGGGAGGAAAAAGATACCAACAGAAACTGTCATGAAATGCCTTTGCAATACATTTCAGAACCTTCACCTGCAACATGCATGCTTTTGGCCTGTCCAAGGAAATGGTGAACGAATTTCTCCGGAAGCAGGTCACCATCGCTAGTCTACGACCCGACCAAGTGAAATTGCTACGTGACAATGTGGAGAGAATGTACAGTGGCAAGCAAGAATGGCAGTAAGGTGTAAGTATAAGTATACCGATAGTATATCCTTTATTTTTTAACACTGAAAACACAAAATTTTTCGATTTCTTCTCCTCCTTTTGTTTTCTAATGTGTCATCTACCTATTATTATTGTTATTATTGTAATCATTATTATTATTATTATTGTTATTATTATTATTGTTATTATTATTATTGTAATCATTATTATTGTTATTATCATTATTGTTATTGTTATTATTGTTATTATTATTATTATTATTATTATTATTATTATTATTATTATTATTATTATTATTATTATTATTATTATTATTAATATTATCATTATTATTATTATATTGTTATTTTTATAATTATTATATTATTATTATTGTTATTGTTATTGTTGTTGTTGTTATTATTATTATTATATTATATTATATTATTATTATTATTATTGTGTTATAATTATTATTTTTATTATTGTTATTATTTGTTATAATAGTAATATAATAATAATAATATAATAATAATATTATTATTATTATTTATATATTATTATTATTTATTATTATTTATTATTATTATTATTATTATTATTATTATTATTTATTATTATTATTATTATTATCATTATCATCTTTTTTGATAGTGTCATCATCATCATCTTCATTGTCATCACCACCATCACCATCATCATCATCATCATCATCATTATCATCGTCATCGTCATTGTCATTGTCATTATTATCATAGAATATAATTTTTAATACTGTCATCATCATCATTGTTGTTATTGTCATTATTATTATTATTATAATTATTATTATTATTATTATTATTATTATTATATTATATTATTATTATATTATTATATTATTATTATTATTATTTATGTGTTATTTATTCCTGAAATGAAATCTGAATGATGAAAGCTAGCTGCAGTATATTTACAATCCTCTTTAGAGATTTTATATTCAGAATACATATATTGCACCTCTCTTGTAATGATGAAAATTAATGGTATGTTCTTCCATTTACCGTAACTTTACATTTCATTTGCAGGTGAGGCTGTATTTATACCAAACTCATATAACACTGTGAGAGAGATCTGCTCGCTAGATTACAGACAGATAACAAATGAGAAGTGATCGTCATGTGATCGTAGTATTAGTATCATTGGCAAGGTTTGTGTGTATGGTGGTTTAAAGAAACCTTGGCTAAAGTCAGTATTTGATATGTGAACTCGGATAGTTTTCATACTGTTAAGTTTATTATGGCTTACTGAATAGACAGGTTGTTTACGTTTATCTGTGTGTGAGGATTGTTGAGTGTCCATTTCCTCCTGTTCTTCATAAAGAATGAACTGATTATAAGGTTCTGTCATATAGATGAATATATATTGTTGAATACAAGTTGTCAGGCATTTATTAATATGTATACATTTTGAAGAGTATGATGGTCATGTACACGAAAACTGTGTTTTTCAGCCATTTTGATGGTACATTGGTGAAACAGTTTAGTACAGTAATGCATGTTTGAATTTGAATAATGAACAAAGTTAAAATGACGAAAATGTTTGATCAGTTACCCAACCAAACTGTATCTTTCAATTATCCTACCATATAAGGTTTGTGTGCCAAGACCACAAAAAATGCCTGAGGAAAGAAATCAAACCCTAAAGTAGTAGAAATCAAATTTGTCCGAGAAATTTATGACGCTGATGTGAATACGTTAGCTGTGTGTGCACTAAGAGATATGGTTTGAAGATTATGTAGACTTTGACAAATATGCAGGTTGGTACATATATAACTTCTTGATTTTTACTTCAAAAATAGTTTCTCCTCTCAGTTTATGCTTTTTTGCATTACGAATATTGAAACCATTATTAACTAACAATATCAAAATTTCAAGTATTTGAATCATTTTGATGATTCTTTCTAATGATATTATTCATCATAAGGTAGTGGCCCTGCATGGACCTTCATCCCTCCTTGTAATGGTGATAATTTTGTGATATATTTGTAGTTGATTCAAAATAACCAGATATTGTAGTTTGTTAGCAGCTCTATGGCATAATAACAAGCACAACCTAAAAATGTAGTTGGTAAGATATATATATATATGAATATATAGTAACAACTCTCTCCTTTGTGGAGTGATATTTCTTCATGAAGATACTGAAATCATACCTGAGATATGTAAACATAATCTTCACAGATGATAAAGTAGAGATAAGGATACCACCATATAGTCATGCACTGCATTTCTGAGAGCTGAGATTATGAGTCTTCAGCTCTTTTAATTTTTCTTTTGTAAGGGAGATGTAGGCCACTGGCTAAAATTAATGCATGTCTAATAGAAAAAAAAACAAAAACAAAAAATGGCTGTATTACCAAATATTTATCTCACCTTTGGACCAAGTATGGCTCTTTGATCATTCCCGTTTTCAATTCTCCACTCTTATAAACTTGACTTTTATTGTTGACTAGGATTAAATCATAATTTCTCTAATGCTTGTTAAAAGAAAATGTCTTTTGATGATCTTTTTAGATTAAGAACTGATTAACAAAATCTCATTGTTGATCTTTTTACAGTTTAATATTTTATACAAGGCAGTACGATATGGAGATATATTTGCATATTTTCTCCAACTAGTTAAGATATGATTCCTAGAAAGCATTTTATGCTTTTAAAACATGTATTCAAAGTATCCTAGATCATAAGACCCAAATTTTTTGAGAATTTTGCTTTTGGAAACTTGAATCTAAGGTGCATGTTCAAAAGAATGTTTTTGGTGTGAGGAGAAATATTGGAAAGAAATTAGCAGATTATTCTCGTCATGATAAACTGATGGGGTGATTGGATTCACAAAACATTCTCCTAACAGATGCATAATGCATACTTGCTGGGGTTTTACCCTCTGGTGAACACATTCTTTTGTAACATAAATTTTGAAAGATATATTGGTGGTTATCTGTTAAGTCAGATTACTTATCCACTGAAACTATTTTTTCTGTCAGATGTTGGAAATAGGTTCTTCAAGGCATGGAAAGGAAACTCTTTTGTTTTGTGTACAATGCAAGGTTGAAGATGATATGCCTAGCACGTTAAGTTGAAAAGTTGATTAGTCTCTGCTCTTTGAACATGGCATACACTTTACCTTGTTTCCTTTGCAAAAATTGGCAGAGGTTTATCTGAATTCACTAAGGGCTGGAATGTTCTTGTTATGAAAATTGCCATTGCACTCATTTACCAGAACTATGCAGTTAAGCTGTGACCTGTTATTGTGGATATTGGATAACAA